CATCAACTTTTATTACAAAAAGAGAATCGTGTTTAAAAAAAGAAACAAAATCTAAATTCTTTAAACAAAAAACTTGTAGAAGAATTTGGAATTTTATCCGAATACAGCAAGTGATATTCTTTAAAAAAAAGCTGAATATCTAGCAGTTGATCCAAGCGACCAAGATAACAAAAAAAAAAACGGGGTTAGACGACCTCAGTATATAGAATTTGAAGAAGCATCGGTATTATGGGTCATGAAGCATAAACTGCAAATTTAACAATTAGCAGCGACATTCTTTTGAATAAAGCGCGACAATTTAAAATCTTCTCAACATCACTGATTTTCAGGTTCCAGTGGATGATTAAGTAACTTCCAACTGCGTTATAATCTTCAATAGTATAACAAGCATAGCGAAAGAGAAAAGCTGTAAAATTTAATTTATAATGAAACACCAGCCATAAAATTCAAAAAAATAGAGTAACAATCCTTTTGACATGTAACGCAACAGATGATGAGAAATTAGATCCGTTGTTTATCTATAAATATAAAAATTCTCGTTCACTTGATGGTGAAAAATAAAGATAATTTTGTCGATTTAATTAATCGGCATGGATGCAAGTCAGTATTGGTCGACAATGCACCAGTTGATTCTCATGAAATTTTGGATACTTTGAGCAATCTAAAGATGAATTTTTTTTTGCCAAATACTATCAGTCATCTACAACCGTACGATGCGAGAATTATTCAAGCACAGTATAAAAAATTGTTGGTTCATGATCGCATTGAGGCTTACGAGACAGTTCAAGTATTAGAAAAACCTGTTGCACTAGTTACAATATATGATGTGATTTGTTTTACCAAAAAAGCATGTAACGTCAACAGTAATAAAAATTTCTGGAAGCATACTGGCATTTTACTTGAAAATTTGGAATTTTTGAATAATGTCGAAGAAGAAAATCATGAAATTCAAGATTCACTTTTAGCAGGCGAGCATTTAATAATGGAGGATGAGAATATTGACTTGGCCAAATTTTTTTTACAGATACCATAAAGTTGATTTCAATGTATGCGAAAATGAATTAAAATGCATTCGTACTCGTTGAAAAAAATTGTCAAGTCATAAGAGTAATAGATCAGTGCAACAATTTTAGATAAATATTTTTGTTGAACAATTTAAAAAACTAAAAATGAGATCATCTTTTTTTACGATAATGTTGTATGTGAAATCGAAATTTATAAAATTTTGGGGTGGGGTGTTTGGATTTGACATTCTGATTGGCTAATTTGAATGTCACGTACGTGAATTACAAATTCACAGATTTCATTTTCACGCACAAAGAAATGAAAATTTAGACTTTTATCACGTATCACGAATTAAACCATTGATTGGCGGCAGTTCAATTTGCATAAAAGTTATTTCAAATATAAATGGGTAATAAAATAATTTTTTTAAGGTTGTGTTTGGTCAATGAACTAGTTCTTTTTTAGATGACCGAAATACCGATCGTTAAAAGGCCGGTTAAACGACCAGTTTAAAAGTCATTATAATCACAAAATTTTGATTTATATAGTATAGATTACCTTGTTATAAATTCGCAATCTTTAGATTCATTATTATTGTTAATATTAATGCTTGTTCAAAAATAGAATTTTGAAAAGCCACTCATAATAATAACTGTTTGTTTTTTCAAAGTACATTTGTTGTACTAATGTAACATTAATATTCTTTTCCGAGACGTATAAGGAGCTTGCATGTTCTCCCATATGTAAATGTAAATTGTCAAAATATTTTTGGAAAAGTAACCAAATAAATAGATCAAGATAGTATTTTTTATTCATTCTTTTATCAAAAAAAAAAAAAAAAAAAAATGTCAGGTTTACAACAACGTAGATTACCATCTTTATTATTAACAACCACAACAACCTCAACCCTTACTTCATTACAATCATTACCACAAACACCTCAATCACCAATCAAAAAATCAAATCTTACTTGCACTTTTTCAGAATTGCCAAATTGGATGAAAGATAACAGTGCCATCATTAGAGGTGTTTATATACAGTACACATTTGTGCAGTAATACATAAATAAATATATTAATGTGCTAATTTATAATTATTATAATTGTTATTCTTTAATCTTAGGATATAGGTTACCAACATTCTCATACATTAAATGCATAAACTCGTTATTTTATCTCCATAATGAAAGTGGTAAAGATGGAAATACTTTTTTTTCGCTCTTTCATGAAGATATAATAAAAATAATATAAAATTTAATTTATTAATCAATTTTTATCAATTAAACAATTTAGTGAATATTTGGTCTCATTTTGTTGGAGCAATGATATTTTTGGTTCTTTCAATTTTCTCTTTTCTTTATTTCAAAACAGAACCAACAATTGAATTCTTTGAAACTGTGGTAGTTTTTTGCTTTTTATTTGGCGCAATGATTTGTCTCGGATGCTCGTCCGCATTTCATGCCGTAAGTTGTCATTCTGAGCCGGTAGGTGACATGTTTAATTAAATTTATTATAATGATGATTAATTACGATCATGCCATATCAATATATATAGACATTATATTGATCATAATAATAGGTTTGCGCAAGTTGGAATAGATGTGATTACGTTGGAATTGTTGCTTTAATTGTGTAAGTGACCAATCAATTCAATTAATGATGATCAGTAGATTTAAACAATATTTTTTTATTAATGATATAATATTTTTTATTGATAATATTTTTAGTGGATCAAATGTTCCTTTGGTATATTATGGTATGGTTTGAGATTTTCATAATAAAAAATAATTTAATTGATTATTTTAATTAATTAATTAATTTAAATATTAATTTAAATATTATTAGGGTTCTATTGTGATTATTATTTGAAATTTTTTTATCTTGTTTTAATATCACTTTTTGGTGTTGCAACGGTTTGTATTAAATCAAATTTATATATTTATAACACAATATAATAATTAATCAACCAATCAACATATTATTAAAATTTAGATATCAGTTGCAATTTCAAAAAAATTTCGTACACCTGAATTCAGATGGTTTCGTACGTCATTATTTTTATTATTAGGATCAACTTCATTACTACCTGTCCTACATTCCATCTCAATTTATGGGGTAAGTAATATATTCGATTGTGAGGGAGGAAGGGAGGGAGCGAGGGAGGGAGTGTGCTGCTGCATTTAATAATTAATTAATTTAATATAATACTGGTTTAATTATATATGTATGACAGCTAAATTTTAGTTATGAAGTTTCTTTAAAATGGTTAATTATGGCGGGTTCATTTTACGTAGTTGGTGCAATATTATATGGATCAAGGTATTTTATTATTATTATTATTATTATTATTATTATTATTATTATGTAAATAAAAATAATTTTTATGTAATAAATGATTATTTTTAAATAATTAGAATGCCTGAAAGATTATCACCTGGAACATTTGATTTTTTGGTAATTAATTTAATTTTACTATTTATTTAATATATTTATTAATTTATACATACACAATAATAATATAATAATATATAACATATAATATATTTCTTTCTCTATCTTAAAGGGTTCTTCACACCAAATTTTCCATTTCTTTGTCGTCGCAGCAGCATTGAGTACATTTTGGGCGATACATCAATCAATGTCATATTGGCGTGAAAACCAAGATGAATGTAAAATTATTAGTTGAATCAATGAAACAAAATTAATCATTTGAATCATAATTATTAATTTATTTAATTATTATAATTTATAATTTATCTTTAAATATTGCAAGGGTGCAATTCCTATCATCTTTTATTAATATTATCCTAAATATATAAAGATAATAAAAAA